AAACGGTCACAAACCCCGCGAAGAAACACTTCACGTAGGCGACTTATCTCTAGACCACGGGAAACAGATAACCCCGACTGGTGCTGGTATCATAACCAGTGTGGAAAGTCTCCCAGAAATTGCAGAAAACCCTGCAATTTTCCCAAATCAAATTCGACTGACTCGAAAAACAACTCGGGAAACTTCCTAGCCGGCACGCATTAACGGCAACTGTAGCTGGCAAACATGGCCATCTCTTATACGTCACAGATGTGATGACGATACTGGCGCAGAAGTTAGCGTTCTTCCTGCAAATTCTAACGACCGGCTACGCGAATCAGTTTTAAACTTACAGGCGGCAAACGGAAAGCTTATCTCCACATACGGTGAAAGGTACGTTTACCTTAACATGGGTTTACGCAAACCCATTTACTGGATTTCCGTTGTCACAGATGTTTCTATGCCAATCATTGGTTTCGACCTTCTATAACACCATAATCTAACCATCGATACGCGCAAACGCAGGCTAGTAGACGGAAATACTAATTTGTCTGTTTGCGCAACATTTTTTCTGGTTGCAGATTATCTCCAGTCACAATTAAGCACAAAATAGACTCATTATATCAACCAATACTCGATAAGTACTCTGGGATATACCAATCGCAATCGAAATTACCGTGTGTGACCAGCAACGTTACACATCACATCACGACTACAGGACCGCCTGTATTCTCTGAAGCACGCCGAGTAGCCCCCGAAAAGCTAAGGTTAACGAAAAACGAGTTCGACCACATGATAGACTTAGGTATCATAAGACCGTCAAACAGCCCATGGGCATCTCTGTTGCACATGGTCCCTAAAAAGGACAGAAATGATTGGCGTCCAACTGATGACTAATGGCGATTGAATGCCGAAACCATTCCCGATCGTTACCCGTTGCCTCATATTCACGATTTGACAGCTACCTTGAAAGGTACAACTGTCTTTTCGAAAATCGACTTGGTTAAAGCGTATAACCGAATTCCCATGGCCACTGACGACATTCTGAAAACCGCAATCATAACTCCTCTCGGACTTCACGAATTTTGGCGAATGCCCTTCGGTCTAAGAAACGCTGCACAAACCTTCCAAAGGATTATAGACGACGTTTTTCGAGGTCTCAACTTCGTACATGCGTATGCTGACGACTGTTTAATAGCAAGTCCGAACAGAGAATCGTATCTCCAGCATCTGGATCTTGTTTTCGACCGACTACAAAAGCATGGCATTACTGTAAGCATTCAGAACTGACTCATTGGACTTCCTAGGACATACTATAAATGCTCAAGGCATTCGGCCCCTTAGAACCAAAGTGTCGGCCATTCCGGATTACTCAGAACCGACCACGATCAAGCAACTACGAACGTTTAACGGCCTTGTAAGTTTCTATAGACGATTCATACCGAAATGCGCGTTACTCATGGAACCTCTTACCGACCAACTTCGTGGAAATGCGAAATCTATCAAGTTGGTTGACATCGCACAGAAAGCATTCTCCACAGTTAAGGAACTTATCGCTAAAGCAACAATGCTTGCCCATCAGGACACTGAAGCACCCATTAGCATCGTAGTAGACGCATCCGACTCAGCAGTCGGAGGAGTCTTACAACAATGTGTTAACAACTCCTGGCAACCTTTGGCATTTTTCTCTAGACGGTTGCTAGACACCGAATCGAGGTACAGCACATTCGGTAGGGAACTTCTAGCTATGTATTGTGCTGTATGGCATTTCCAACACTATATCGAAGGCCGTGAATTCACTATTTTCACTAACCATAAACTGCTCACCTTCTCTTTAGGCTCTCCTTCAGACAAGTACTCTCTCCATGAGTCTCGACAACTGAACTACATTTCGCAGTTTACTTCAGATATTCAACACATTTCTGGAGCAAACAATGTAGCCTCAGGCGCTTTGTCTCGAATAACATCCTTGAATAGTTTCCAAGAAATCGACCTTCTGAATCTCGCCGAGCTTCAAAAAGAAGACACCGATTTTCAGCACGAGTTATCGTCTACAACCCTTAAACTACGCATCAAACAGATGGGAACAGGTAAGGAAACCTTACTGTGTGACACATCTACGGGTAGGGATCGCCCAATCGTGCCGAAACATTATCAACTCAACGTCTTCAATACGTTGCACAAACCTTCTCCATCAAGCTTATAGCAGAACGATTTTGCTGGCCTGGCGTGAATAAAGACGTGAGCGGGTGAGTAGGCTCCTGTGTAAGCTGCCAAAAATCTAAGGTTATCGGATACAATAAATGTCCCTTATGGTCATTTAAAACTCCCGATGATCGTTTCGACCATGTTTATTAGGATTTGGTAGGACCTTTACCAGATTCAAATGGATACTCTTATCTCTTAACCTGTGTTGACCGTTTCACTCAATGGCCAGAAGCAGTACCTATTAGGACATTACTGCTGAAACAGTGGCCCGCATCTTCGTAGAACGATGGGTAGCAAACGCTGGCTGCCCTTCAACCATCACTACAGACCGCGGACGTCAGTTTGAATCTGAACTTTTCCGTCGTCTGACCACACTTTTAGGAACCACTCGCTTCCAAACGACTGCCTACCACCCACAAGCAAACGGGTTGATAGAACGTTTTCACCGACAACTGAAAGCTTCACTATCAGCTGCGAACGTTTCGCAGTGGACCGACGCTCTTCCACTCGTCTTACTAGGTATTCGCAATGCAGTGAAAGCTGACATTGGATACACTGCGGCTCAACTCGTTTATGGAATGACACTTCGACTTCCAGGAGAATTCGTGGATCCTTCATCCTCTTCAATGAGTATGGATCTAACCTACTACACGAACAGGCTTACAAACGCAATGTGTTCATTTAAACCTGCTTCCACTCGACCTCAATCAACCGATGTTTTCGTTCAACCTGACTTACGATATAGTACACACGTTTTCGTTCGTCGAAACTCGCATCGACGACCATTCGAATCAGCATACGAATGACCTTTCAAAGTTCTTCAACGTGAATCTAAGTACTATATAGTCGATAAGAATGGAACCAGCGATAGCATCAGCATCGATCACCTCAAAGCTGCGTATTTAGAAGGAAATTATACTCATGTCGGTTTTCCTTCGATAAAATATCACGACACGACTCCTACACTTATAATATCTCAACCGACAGCCAACACTTACGATGATACTTTGGCTGTATCAGAAAATAAACTTAAAACAACGCGTTCTGGGAGAAGAATAAGATTTCTACAACATTTGAACGGTCATTTCACGTAAGATACTAGTTAGCATTTCATATCGTCTCGATTTTCCTTTGTATTATATATAATTAAAAAACAATTTTAATATGCTTATATATTTATATTTTTATTTCAAAAAAGCAGAACAAAAAAGCCATATTATAAAAATCTTATTTTCACGCTATTACGTGTGTACGAGTTTTCTTCATTTTTTCTCCCGCTTTTTGTTTTTACAGGCGTACATTCGCATTTCGACATGCACTTACATTTTTTTCTTTTCCAGAACGGCTGGAAAATAACGACGAAGTTTACGAGGAACCGAAATTTTCATTGTACTTTTTTTTACTATATTTTACTTCATGGTTCCTTATAGTGAGGAAAGACGACCAGACGCTGCTAAACCTAGCAAGCTATCGGAAGAGTGTTTAACAATGACAAACTCGTTGGGTTTAAACTTTTATCTGGCCACGTCTTAGAGTCATCACTACCGCATTAGAGGGGAGTGATGTGTAGCGGCAAATAAATCTCCAAAATAAATAGCCCTGTAAGTTTTCGGCATTGGATACTGACCACATTAGCTTTGATGGATTCACCTAGCTGAATGCGCTCGGTCATGCATCCGCACCAGATCACGAGTGGGAACGCCGTGTTCAACAACCCCTGCAATCGCTAGCCAGATTAGATCAGACCATCCTCGATATATTGATAGCCTTGTAGCGTGGCGTCGAGTTGAGGTTAACTATAAACACCGCTACAAAGAAACGCGTGCCAAATGAATCAGAAGGCGAAGGTCGAACATAACCAAATAGATCCATAAAATCATCGAGAAGTCAAATATCAGAAGGCAGTTAATTGACCAAGTCGAGATATATTTGCTGGCGATCTCGTGGCATCGAAAGGATACCGAGATCGTGCCAGGATACAAGCTTGGTTACAGAATGTAACCGAATTCGCGCGAAGTTACAATCAAAGTGTAAGTATAAGAGTGGAAGCACAAAATAGCTGTCATTAGCACAGTCAAACAAAAGCACATTGAAACAAACACTGGTACAATTGGTTATGATAATAATTGTTTTTATTAAACCAGTCGTGTTCTCGTGATAAATGTGAGTCACTACAGCCTATCAAGTATATCTTCGAACCTCCTCACCTCTGTCTTTTGATTTCACTTGGCGGGTTCGCTTCATATTAGGTGTTATTGTTTAAAGCGTTGTCAGACTCCGAATACCTGTGGAATCTTCATAATAAGCAGCGGCCTCAAAAATACGAGCAACTGTAAGGCTGTTGCTTCTGCAAAAGGCTATAGGGCATTATGGGGTGTTCGTAGGTCTTTTCAATAGTTGTCAGACATTCCATCTAGAGAGAGGGCGTTCCAAAAAAGTTCAAAAACCGAGATCAAATCGTCTACATTTGGACTTTCACACCGAGTAGTGATTTATTGAAATTCCTTACCGGAAAACGTAATACCAACACCTTTTGATATATTCAAAACGATGTTGAGCCTCTACAGTGTTACAAACTGCAAGACTTAATATAGGTCAACAGACCTCATCCTTATTAATGAAGAATGAAGTTATGTATGTGAAGCTCTGAGAGGATATGGCTCGTTCTTCTAAATTAGCGGTAATGACAAAAAATCCTGATACATTAGATTTTTTAATCGAGCTGCATGAACTCTGTGCCACATCTTTGTTAGCTGATGACGAGTATTATTGTTTAAAGTAACTTATCTCCATTGGCGCCGCCATTTAAAATCATGTCAAGAGGTGTTAGCAGGTTTCATAGTTCACGTTCTCCTGTTAGGAGGTAGGATTTATAGTCTTTCCTTAGTTTTCAGTGTGTCTAGATGGTCATCTTTTAGTCAGAATCCCAAACGTGGGAAATTAGAAATGGACATGGATTTTGCTGCACCTGACTGGAAATCCTCAGAACTTCCGAAGTTTGAAAAGAAATTTTACCAAGAACACCCGTTGTCAGCCTCTAGATCTGAGGCAGAAGTAGAGGCATTCCGCAAAAAGTATAAGATGTCACTTTCTGGGAGGGATGTTCCTCGTCCTGTACTATCGTTCAATGAATTGAATGTTCCTGACTACATACTTAGTGTAATTGCCAAGAACGGTTGGCAGCTCCCCACTCCAATCCAGTCTCAAGGTTGGCCTATGGCACTTTCTGGTCGTGATGTGGTTGGGATAGCTCAAACGGGCTCAGGGAAAACAGCGTCATTTCTGCTTCCAGCTGTCATCCATATTATGGCACAACCGCGATTGCTGCGCAATGAAGGTCCAATATGTTTAATTCTTGTCCCCACTCGGGAACTTGCACAACAAGTTCTTACTGTAGCAAAAGAATTTGCGGAAGCTGCCAGCTTACGTGCGATGTGTTTTTATGGTGGCTCTGCAAAAGGCACTCAGCTTCGTGAAATGCAAAAAGGTGGTGAAATATGTATCGCAACTCCTGGTCGGCTCATCGATTTTATTCGGGTTCAGAGGTATGTCAAATTTTTAAGTCCTAACCCGCTTTTAGAAATCTCTTGTCTAGAGTAACTTACTTAGTACTAGACGAGGCAGACAGGATGTTGGATATGGGCTTTGAGCCTCAGATTCGTAAGATCATAGGCCACACACGTCCTGACCGCCAAACCCTCATGTGGTCTGCAACATGGCCAAGAGAGGTGCAAACGCTAGCCAGAGAATTCCTCACTGATTATATCCAAGTAAATATTGGGTCAGTATCGCTTCACGCCAACCCAAACATCACTCAAATAGTTGAAATAATGGATGATTGGAGTAAAGAACAACGTCTGATTGAACTTTTGACGAGTTTTGGACGAGCACGTACACTAGTATTCGTTGAGACGAAAAGGCGGACGGATCAGCTCACAAATTCACTTAGGCGTCGTGGATTTTATGTGGAAGCGATGCACGGCGGAAAGCAGCAAAGAGATAGGGAGCTCACTCTTGCAAGTAGGTAAATTCACTGTATGATATTGTGTCCATAGACTTTAAAAGCGGAAGGATGAATATATTGGTGGCCACAGATGTTGCTTCCCGTGGTCTTGGTAAGTTCAGTACAAATCTAGCTAAGCTCTTAAGCTATATCAAAATCAGACGGCTAAGTCAATTTTCTTTCTGCTATAGATATTGACAATATCGAGTACGTGGTGAACTTTGATTTTCCGAACCAGACTGAAGATTACATTCATCGCATAGGACGAACTGCGCGTAGTGATAAAACGGGAACCGCATTCACTTTTTTCACACACAAGAACGTAAGACAAGCTCGTGATTTGATTGACATACTGGACGAAGCCAATCAAGAGATAAGCGCAGAGCTCATCCAGCTGGCTGGGATGTCCAATTACCTCCGAAAGTCTAATACGCTCAAAAAAAGTGAGTTTTGCCTCGTTCTTATATCACTAGTAAGTTATTGATTGTTCAATATTAGTCAACAGAACCACAAAAAACATCCAGACATTCGATGCATTTACCTGACTGTCTGCTTATCTCTAGTCATTATAGTTTAGTGCTCAGACGTCCAGTTGGTCAGTCATTGATCTGTTACATCACGTAGTTGTGAGCAAAACCCTTTGGGAATGCTCCTCCAACTTGAGCACTGCGGGCTGACTCAGGGTGTATATTTGCACTGATGGCCCGTAAGTTCCCTTTATTAGCTATCTTGATGTCTGAGTTATCGCGGTAAGCGGCACAATATCAGTGTATTTAGATGCTTCGTGATATTAGCAACGTTTTCCTAGCATCTGTTTTAATGTTATGCTCCTTTTTCAGTACCTATGTATTGAGTGAGTCACTTAAGTTTTTATTACGGTGACTCCCAGACTTACATTTCATACTGATCTGGGTGGCAGTTGTGTTACTGGGTGTAGTTTATTAGGTTAGTGTAAAGGTATTATCGCGTTTGTATTTGATTTTTACTATTTGTATTTTTGTCGACTATTTTGATTGCTAATTTTTGACAAGTGGTTGTTTCTAGTCGAGTGTTTCTCTTGTACTTGTTACTGATTATCATGATAGGAAACGAGTACATTTCTATTAACTTGAAATCCGGGCTGCTGTTGGTAATACTAGCGCAATAGAGGAATGCTTTGTACACCCAGAAGCCACTGACGAACTGCCTTTTGCCTTAAGGAGATAACAGTTAATTTGCCATCACTAACAGTAGTCTGGTATCCAAAATCCTCAGGTTATGTAACAGAATTAATGCGTTTGCTTTTCCTACCAATCAGTACACTTCAATAACTCGTTTTTTTGTTTTTGCTATACAGTGTACTTGGTAAAGAACTTAACAGACAGAGATCTGATCATTCAGATTTGCGCAGTTATCTGTCTGTCAAAAAGCTAAACGTATGAAAACCTAGCATTAGTTCGATTAAAAAATAAAAGCGCACTAAAGTTGTATAATTTTAGCTGATTGTCGTGTAATTTGTAGTTTTTCAATGGTCTGCACCGAAAGCCGATGCAGATTTAATCTGTAGATACTTTTTTAACGAATCGTAAATTCGAAACAACCTTATCTTCTATAGATCCATCAGCCTTCCAACAAAAGCCACCTGGTCGTATCACTGGCTTTGGGAATTCATCTTCAAGCTTCCCAACACAAGATATTAGAACTGTCAACTCTGGAATTTCATATCAAAATGGTTCGTCTGCTATGAATAAAGTTAATTCAGCTGCCGAGAATTCTCACTTGCCAACTGGCCAGTTTCTCACAACGTTCAAATCTGCTACTAGCGACCAGTCCATTAGTGGTCGCAAACCCACTCTTAGTAGTCAGACAACTACTTATGGAGGATTACCACAACCTATTCCTGTAAATGACACTCAGATTAAAGCTAGCTTTCCAAAGACTAATGTGCCTAGCTGTGTAAATCTCTCAGTAAATGAGACAGGGAAATGGGATAGGCATGTCAGCGCAGAGAAAGTTAGTTCTATATTAACTGCACCGATTCCTGTCATTCAAAATTCAAATACAGTAACTGAAGCAAGTGATCAACAGTGGTCCACTAACCAATGGGGGACCGACAAAAATCAGGTCCATACTCATTGGAATCCATCAGTTCCTGACATTTTGTCAGCCAGTGGTTCGTTTGCTCAGCGTTCTGCTGGTCAAAATCCTAAACGGCCGACGCTTATGGATCCATCTGCATCTCATATCAGTTTAGTAAATCCCAGCAATGATATATCTCTACCAGGTATTAGACCTCGAGGTACCATGAACCAATTGAATGGGCCTTCGCCAAATGTTGCCCAATATGTACAGCCATGGTCAGGTTTTGTTTCAAATCCCTATTCATATGCTGTGCCACTCCCTACTGCTACTGACATACCAGCCACACCTAATTGGGGTTCTGGATGGGCTCCAAGCTTTCACGGAGGTTATTAAATAACAATGTTTACCATTTCCTTATGTTTCCAAATTTATCAAGCTAAAAATCTTTCTTAAGAGGCTGTCGACTTTCTTATTCGGCAACCTCTAACAATATTGTTTTCTTTTCCGCATTCGTACTAAAGCAGTACGAATAAAAATGTAGCTTTCATTGAAGCCAAGAAAGCGTTATCAGTAATTTTACAGTTTTGATTTTTTTTAGTAATTAGTGTGCAATATATTAACTGGTTTAGATAATATGAACCTATGGAGTCTTGCAAAATCCTACTTTTATTTTAGCATCCCTGTAAGTTACTTTCACGGTATCAAATATTTTCGTTAAAATGGCCACCAATTGTCCGAGTACTGTTTTACTTGCCTCAGTACCTCAGATTATATCCAATTTCGTAATGACATTCAGATTAAACTCACGTTTCATCAATTCAGAAAAGACATCGTCTAAAGTTAAATGGAACATGAATAATGATTTATGTACGCTACTGAAATCTTTGTTCTCTAGTCAAACTAGTACATTGTAACCAATCGCCTATGTGATCCGGGTATATACTGCTTTTAGTTTGGTAATTTATAAAAGGTTTCTCGCATGTATCAACCCAGGGTCATTTTCACTTCATGTTGCTTCTATTTTGGTAAATCCGAGAACTTATGTCGCTCAATATAATTTTCTCAAATCTCAAGCCTCTGTTCATTATGTTGCTTCTAATTTGGTACACATTAAGGTTTCACTGACCCATCTTATTCCTGACTCTAATTTTTAGAAGCACTAGCAAAATTATATGACTTGGTTTGTGATACTGTTTGTCTTGGTACCCGCTAATTAGTCGATACAGTTTATTTTGAGATTTGAATGTTCAGATTAGACTGCAGTGTTCCATGGATTTAAGTTAATGGAGTATCATATTCGTTCTATGAACCCAGTGTTGCATTATTTCTGAGTACCCATTAGAGCATACTCTATGGTTGAATTATGAATATGGTTACTGTAGCACGTGTTCAGTCTTTGTTTGGGATCATTCATACAAAGAAAAATCAGATTTCGTCGATATATATAGTGTAGAAGGTGGCGAATAAGAAGTTAGTTTCCAGTTTTTGTGATTTTTCGCCGGTTTGCCGTTGATTAAAATGTCTTGGTTCACTGACTTTTCTCATTGTTTACAGCATAGAACAGATTACTTTTTATCCATTCTATGTTCGTAATATTGATAATTTGATCTGAATGTGTCTGTCAGATAGTGTCACATTCAGTGAAGAAACCACTAGTCTTTCCTGCGTATGTTATTGACAAAGTAAGATTTGTAGTAGCCATTTAGTATTTGCCATTCCTTACCACGTTCGTGATTACACAAGGCTAACAAAACAGCAATTGTGCAAATTTGATTTAAATGTCATCGTAAGAATTAGTTCATTTTAGTGTTTTATTGTGGTCTAGTGAATGTTTATTTAGATTAAACTCTTTAAAACATTTACTCATCCTATTAAGGTATCTTAATAAAGTGTTCAAGTGTCTATGGAAAGGTAGGCGTTGAAATAAATTATCTTTATTTAATTTTGAAGTCGTTGATATCAAATCTACACATTTTGTGGGAGTGTGGACCCAGCTTCCTTTCACTTCCTAGCAGTCGGTAGTTTTTCAAATTAATGCCATGTCTCAATCTGATCATCATACTTCAACTAGGAGAGCACACTAGATGTGGTGACATATCTGAGTCACTTTAGTCACCGAAGGTTTATAAATTCACTCACTGATTTATGTGATTCGTACTATACTATTCGACGGACACTAAGTAATTTAAACAGTGTTTCTATAATCTGCTCATGACTTATTCGTAAAGCAGAATAAGGGAGTTATCCTTACAAGCATATTTCCGGGTAATCTGAGTTCGCAAACGTTCTAATCAACTTGGTGGCAGTATTGAAGTTTTATAGAACTATTTGAATGTGGTAAAGTACTTTAGTTGTTTGGTTATGATTCGCGATGATTACATTTGTATTTTAAAATTCCGATTACATGTAAAAATCACGAAATATTGCTTTACTGGACATTATTTAACCCTTCAGTACTGTGAAAATGTCACTGTAAAAGATGTGTCGAAGTAATGTTTTGCTCCTGATGTGTGCGGGAGTGTCAGTTCGTACTCAGACCTCCTTAGTCAATAGTAATTTAGTTTGTAAAGTGCTCTGAATTTTGATTTTCCAATTGTTCATGTTAGTATCTAAGGTTCTCATGCAACATAGTTCTATAGTGTTATAGAAATAAACAAATATGACCTACTGGTTGCGTGTTTTAGACCAAAACGAGTGTTGATTTTCATGAGTGGTTCGTTAATTTGTAACTAATTTCTACACTGGTAGTGACTACCGTTGGAATGGTTCAGTAAATGGTCTCTATCTTTACAGTCTACGATGGATGTCAACAGTTATTTCAGACATGTTTTTGGTCCAAGTATTGTGTAAGAGGTCAGCAATTAAATCTCGGTGAATTGCTATATTACGAATAAAGTGTTTAAAAGAGCGTTCTCAATTTTTTCAAGCTGTTTAGGTTTTCATCGGGAAAGGGGTTGAGTTTAAGATTGTTGTAAAAGTAAAGTTAGTGTCCTTGATGATTTGTTACCAGTCTTTGAGGTTGGTAACTTCAGACCTTCAACAGCACTCAAGATGGAGTTTGGTAAAAATCGTCAAGAGCACATTTAAAATTAGCGTCGCTCATGGATTCCCCGATATTCAGTTTAAAAGTTCCTAGTAAGGGACAGTCGTTCTCAATGACTACGTCCAAGGTGTGTCATTCGTAAATTTGACAGGTCAAGAAGATAAACTGTAAGGCTTCAAGTTAAGATCATGCAAATAAAAATATAAATAGGAAAAATGCTATGACCTTTCAAATGTACGTATAACACATTTCTACAACATTTAAGTCGTAATCAATTTATTAGTTCATTCTTTTAACGTATGACGTTTAGTTCACTTAACTTGTTTTAGCCATTATGATACAACACTTACTTACTTACGCCTGTTACTCGTGAAGGAGCATAGGCCGCTCACCAGTATTCTCCATCCAACCCTGTCCTGGACAATCCTTTCTAGCTCCGTCCAGTTGTAATTCATCGTTCTCATATCTGCTTCTATTATCCGACGCGATGTGTTCTTTGGCCTTCCTCTTTTTCGCTTCCCTTCAGGATTCCAAGTTAGGGCTTGCCTCGTGATGCAGTTTGACGATTTGCGTAACGTATGTCCTATCCATTTCCATCGTCTTTTCCTAATTTCTTCTTCAGCTGGAAGTTGGTTTGTTCTCTCCCACAGAATGCTATTGCTGATGGTATCCGGCCAATGGATGTTGAGTATCTTGCGTAGACAGCTATTTATAAATACTTGTACTTTCTTGATTGTGGTTGTTGTAGTTCTCCAAGTTTCAGCTGCATACAGTAGAACTGCCTTGAGATACAACACTTACGGATTTATAATTGCAGGACGTGATCACGGTTTTACTAAACGGTTATTCACTTAAGTGTTCTTTATTTCCGGATTTTTTGTGGGGATTTTCAAACAAATGGAATCTTTGGCGCTGACAATACCGCAAATTCGGAGAAGGCAAACAAGGTTAGGTGTTCCAGGAAGATATCAAATCTTCACTTTGCACAAAATTTGAAGTCAATACAATAAACCTCCTCAATTGTGTTGTTCATCAGGACTGCTACAAAAAACTTCACGAATTCCCTTAATCGACCGGTCATGTAGATACGTTTGCTTCATTTGCATATGATTATATGTCTTATTTAGTGCAAAGTTAGTAGACGAATGATGCATTACCAACATTAGTTCCTTCAAAATATGACTATAAACACCTGTTTACCGTGGATGTCTGATACCCTTCCAATGCACTAAAATGTTATGACTTTGTTTTATCAATGGTTTACTTCTGTAGAGTTAGTACCCTAAATTCAAGATATTTCCCACTAGGTTCGGAAATTACTACCAAGTTGAGTTAACTAGCTTTCAGTTCTTGTTCGCCTAGCAAATTGCTTTTAATTGTTAAGTTTTGAACTGACACATTATACAATGTTCCAAAATTTGGCCTTGTCAATCTTTTCCTCATTTTTAATGACATTCTTACTGGTAGGGAAGCTCGAAACAAGAATTTGGTGACGTATCAGTTTCAAAACAACACGATGGTGTTCTAGTGTCATACAGGACCTAACACCGCAAATTTGGAGTGTGGTTGTGAGTCGTCGTTGGTAACAAAGTGTTTGCTACTTCTATGAGCAGTATACTTAATCTTTCAGAAGTATGAAGAAGTTTCACTGGTACTTCGACAAAACCGGATATTAATTTGACGTTAAAATAATAGAGAAATGTAAAGAATATGTGTTTCGAAAGCAAGTTTGTAGCCCTTCTAACTAAGAGTAATATGTCTTTTGATGCTATAAATAAGAACTTAGGAGCAAGCTTGTAGAAGTACTTGTTGAGGCTATGTAATGTGCTCTATGTTTATTATCCAATGCTATCTCCGTAGTAAACAGGTTTAAAGCGACAACCAAAATAAATGATCATATTTAGAATATTATTAGGTGCACCGAGTCATTCGGTCCATAATTAAATACAAGTTAAATTTCTGAAGTTTTTATGGGTTGATAAGTTTGTTGAATATACTGTGAATATATTAGTAACAGCCAAACGATATGTTGGTAATGGATAAACACACGCCTTGATATGTAAACGTGACTACTTTTGTCTCGGGTTCAGAATTTTCTTTGCTATTATCCATTTTGTTTATGCATCGGTCTAAATTTTTTTTTCATCGCCAAGTATTATGTAAGCCTATTTAGTAAAAATTGAGTAGAAATGTCTTAATTTATTTCCTTTGCTAATCTGCTTTTTAGTTGTACAGTTTTCCGGGCTTATTTCTTTCTTGACAGTGAAATGTAATGCAATATTCGACAATTATGCTTTCTGTAGTCTGAAATACTAATACCAATACTGGAAATACCGGACCTATATACATATCTTATTCATTTAGTATAATAGTAGACTGCTATCACTCTGCTGTTTGTTTTGGTTGAAGTTGAACATTAAAACCGTTGAGTGTGCTGGCTGAGTGGTCTAGAGGTCAAGCGTTCGCGCGAGATTGAAGGTCCTAGATCCGGATCCTGTGTGTGGGGTCCTGGATGTGCACTGTTGAGAAGTATCATACTAGGACGGAACAGCCGTCTCATACCCTCAGGTTTTCAATGGTGGTCTAACATTGATCGGTCCATGATTTCGTTTGTTTCCCATTGTCTCTCAATATCTAATTTCGGCAGTCATACAAGATTTTTGCTAAATACCTAAAAAAAGCTATCTGTGCAGATTTGAAGATAACAATTGTATTATCTTTGGAAAAATTAGTCTCTTGCTTATATGGTATGCTACTTAGTTCCCATACAATTAGTACGAATTCTCTTACATTGTCTACTGCTAAGAAATTACGGTTTATTGCTTAATTAAAGCGACTCTTCTATTCACAACTTGTAAATATAATCGTTATTCGGCGATGGTAATAAATCGTTTATGATTGTACGTTTAGCTTTTCAGAATACATCCCATTTTGTGGAAGCATTTTCGTGTCGGTCTCTTTTATTCACTATATTTAACTAATCTGACATGTCCTTTCGGTTTATTCACGTTTTCATTCCCTGCTTTCGCAGCCGCCATTTAGCTTTTTGATCTTGAAATATGTATTTCGAAAATTGTTTTAACTTGTAATTATTAGTATTATAGGTTTATGCGACAATGTTGATTGGACTGTACATCTTGACGATGTACACGGGCAAAATCTGTCAATACGACAACTGGTGTATCTCCAAATTTTTGGAATTCTTAAACTCAAAATCATTTGTCATCTACAAACATATTTCTATTTGAAAGATTTATGAGTATCACGGAAAACTATTTGTTCTTGCTTGTTTATCTCGCAAAAACTTAAAACAAAACAAACGTAACTAACTACCAACAGGAATAATCGTTTTACTATTTTGATTGATGCTTCTGACTTACTTACGCCTGTTACTCCCAATAAAGCATAGGCCGCCGACCAGCATTCTCCAACCCACTCTGTCCTGGGCCTTTTTTTCTAGTTCCATCCAATTCTTGTTCATTTTTCTCATGTCTATTTCCATTTCTCGGCGTAATGTGTTCTTTGGTCTTCCTCTTTTCCTTTGGCCTTGAGAATCCCATATGAAGGCTTGTCTTGTGACGCGGTTGGGTGCTTTCCTCAATGTGTGTCCTATCCACTTCCTCCGCTGGGATCTGGCTTGTTCTCTCCCATAGTTGGTTGTTGCTAATAGTGTCCGGCCAACGGATCCGAAGTATTTTGCGTAGACAACTGTTAATAAACACCTGTATTTTCTGGATGATGGCTTTCGTAGTTCTCCAGGTTTCTGCCCCATACAGTAGAACTGTCTTGACATTTGTATTGAAAATCGTGACCTTGGTGTTGGTTGACAGTTGCTTTGAGTTCCAGATGTTCCTCAGTTGTAAATGTGTTGCTCTTGCTTTGCCGATCCGCGCCTTCACATCTGTATCAGATCCACCCTGTTCATCAATGATGCTGCCCAAATACGTAAAGGTTTTTACATCTTCCAAATCTTCTCCGTCAATTGTAATTGGATCGGTGCATTCTGTGTTGTATCGGAGAATCCTGCTTTTCCCTTTGTGTATATTGAGACCTACTGCTGCTGAGGCTGCTGCCACACTTCGTCTTCTCCTGCATTTGTTGCGTTTGGGATAGAAGGGCCAGATCGTCTGCGAAGTCTAGATCATCCAACTGCATCCTAGATGTCCATTGTATCCCGTGCTTCCCTTCAGACGTTGACGTCTTCAAGATCCAGTCGATCACCAGGAGAAAGAGTGAGAGTAAGCAACCTTGCCTAACACCGGTCTTCACTTCGAATAACTTTGTCAACTGTCCTCCATGCACTATTTTGCAGTGTAATCCATCATAGGAATTCTGTATGATAGTGACTATCTTCTGAGGCACGCCGTAGTGTCGAAGAAGTTTCCATAGTGTTGTTCTGTCCACGCTATCCAATGCCTTTTCGTAGTCAATGAAGTTGATGTAGAGTGATGAATTCCATTCAATTGATTGTTCCACAATCATCCGTCGAGTTGCGATTTGGCCTGTACACGATCTATCCTTACGGAATCCTGCCTGTTGGTCACGAAGTTGGGCATATACGCAGTCCTTCATCCTGTTTAACAATACCCTGTTTAAGACGTTTCCCGGTATTGAGAGAAGAGTGATGCCCCTGTAGTTATCACACTTGCTGAGATAGCCTTTCTTTGGTATTTTGATCAAAAGTTCTTCTTTCCAGTCTTTTGGTACTTGTTCCTCATCCCGAATCTTATTGAAGAGAATGTGGAGTATCCTTGCAGTTACCGCTACGTCTGCCTTTAGTGCCTCTGCTGGAATATTGCCTGGTCCTGCTTCTTTTCCACTCTTGGTTTGTCTGATGGCCATGTTAATTTCTTCAATTGTTGGTGGGCCAACATTGATTGGGAGGTCCGTGGGTGCTGCTTCGATGTTGGGTGGGTTCAGTGGAGCTGGTCGATCCAAGAGTTCTTTGAAGTGTTCTACCCACCTGTCTTGTTGCTCTTCAATGTTGGTGATTACCTCGCCTTCCTTGCATTTCACTGGTCGTTCTGGTTTGCGGCGATTTCCAGAGAGTTTCTATGTCGTGTCATACAATTGTCTCATGTTTCCTTCTCTTGCAGCCTTTTCTGCCGTCGTTGCTAAATCTTCCACATATTTACGTTTGTCAGTTCTGATGCTCCTCTTCACTTGCTTGTTTACTTCTGTGTAATCAGCTTGTGCCTTGGCTTTTTGTGTTTTTGTTCGGCTGGTATTGATAGCTACCTTCTTGTTCCTCCTTTCTTGAATCTTATCCAGTGTATCAACAGTGATCCATTCCTTGTGGTGGTGCTTCTTGTGACCCAGGACCTCATGACATGTTGAAGTGATTGCCTCTTTGATCCCCTTCAGGTTGCTCTCCACAGTAGTTCCTTCTCCATTGAGTAGATCATGAAAGGCCTGCAACTTGTTGCTGAGGACTATCTTGAATTTGTTGAGTTTGTTAGTATCCTGAAGAAAGGCCGTATTGAACTTTTGTGATATTGTCCGTGTTATGGCTTTAGGTTGCTGTCGATTTTTACCCTGTGCTAATTGTTGTGTCCTTGACTGGAAAATTAGAGAGCAGCGTACTTATCGATCGACTACAGTGACACGTAAACACGCATGGACGGCCTAGAGCCTCTATTGGCCTCGCTTCCCTGTCTAGCTAGCCCAGTCAGTTGAGTCCAGAACACAAGCCACAGCCTCGGAGATATGAATCATTATATTTCAAACATACTTTGTTTATATACCAGTCAAGCATACCACATCGTACCATAAAATAGAAAACATCATTTTGTACAATATTCAACAAGTGAACAGATATCGACCAATAGGCAATGTCCATTTAAAGTCCAAGGACACCATTGGACTTAACATGATAATTATTGGTCTATTCCCCCGCATCCACAACAGTCCGCTTCATTGTCCAGTGCTTCTTGAGTTTCAATTTCATCCTGGCGACCAGCAAGTGATGATCTGATGCTATATCAGCTCCTCTCTTGGTTCTCACGTCCTCTATAGTCCTCCTGAACGTTTTGTTGATGCAAATATGGTCGATTTGGTTTTGTTTAGTGTGATCCGGTGAAGTCCATGTGGTTTTTGTTATGTTTGAAACTTCACGAGTTCACTTAAACTGCGAACGAGAACAATACTCAGTGACCTAACTATTGACGCGTCCCAGCCCCGCTATCTAGAAGAAGTCCAGGCTTGGTATGGAATATATATTCTGCAACAGCCAGAAGCGAGCGAGCAAGCACAATTTAAAACATATGAGTCTGGGGATCTATCGTCCCCAACAGTTTTGTATATGCGTTTATGTGGGAATATGGTGCCGCCTATGACCAGTTTATTTAAGGCACATAGGTTTGCAAATCTCTCACCATTTTCGTTCCTTTCTCCCAGTCCGTGTCGTCCCATGATGTCTTCATATCCAGTGTTGTCCGTTCCAACCTTGGCATTGAAATCTCCCATCTGAATGGTCAGGTCCTTTCCTGGGTACTTCTCGATGATTAACTGCAGCCTATTGTAGAATTGATCTTTAGCTTCTTCATTGTAGTCGTTGGTAGGCGCATAGCATTGGATGATGTTCATTGAAATCCCCTCTTTCTTTGTTTTGAACGAGGCTTTGATGGTCCTTGGTCCATGAGATTCCGATCCTATAAGCGCATTTTGCGCTTGTTTGGACAGCATCAATGCAACTCCCTGTGTATGTGGGGCATTTTCTTCATGGCCGGAGTATAACAGGAGCTCTCCTGTAGTTAGTCGTTGTTGTCCAACTTGTGTCCAATGTGTTTCACTGATCCCAAGTACCTCTAGGTTGTATCTTCTCATTTCTGCAGCAATTTGGAAGGCTCTCCCGGTGTCCCGCATTGTACGAACATTCCATGTACCTAAATAAATGCTCGCTCTGGTTGTCAGAAGGAGCATCGGCCTCGTAACTTCCGAAGGAATTCGGCTTTCATCATGAGGCGTCATAAATCTTCTAAATGAAGACCTTCTGACTCCTGGGGCAGAGTTTAAAAGGTTTGAATAATTTTTTCTGGTTAACGTTTTTTTTAGCGAGTTAGTTTTCTACGGGATGGGGACGCTAACCCCATGCCTAACCCTCCTCCTTTACCCGGGCTTGGGACCGGCAGTTGCCCCCGGAGAGACTCCAGGCGGAGTTTGATGCTTCTGAACATAAATATTTTTCTCAATGAAATTTGGTTTGAATTAAGATCAATTGCAGCTTAACGGAATATCAGTGTATGATAGTTAAATGGATTTTTCACTCAGAATTTTAGTGTTATATATATATATATATATATATATATATATATATTGGAGTGTGGTGTTTAGCGAAACATGTATCTTTTATTCACAATGCTAAATACTTCTGACTCAGTCGATCGAGGGGTCTCATGGCAGTGCTTGTCATCACATAGTGGATCTCGAAATGCGTAAACATTCTGTGTAGAAATTTATGAGCAACTTTCATGATTATTGTCATCTGCCGCTGTTATTCAAGGACACCTACTTCATTTTTACTTGAGTACGTTAGACGATCCTCTATAAGTTCATTTTACTGTCTCAGAATACCTAAATAACAGTTCTGTTCGATGAAGATGCTGACCAAATACTGTCTTGTTATCTTGAACCACTGTAAAAAGCTTATTTGGGATGTTGCTGCTCTCCCTCTAAATACAAACTTGTTTGAGGAGTGGTCTGCGTGTACTTCGAGATAACGGTCAAAGTTGTTATTGTGTTGACCACATCTCTTATCTTGGAATTTTTATTAACCTGGATGAGCTAGTGTCTATCGAGATTGCAACAAGAATTTGGGAAACTCTCTCGACTCCGATGCATTGCTCGCGTATAGTGAAGCAATGCAGAGATGCAATTTATGGTCCTAGATAACATGGCAAATCGGTTGATGTGACTGAAGCGGGTGGGAAGTATGTTGCGTATTCCAAACTACCACCCACTACGGTGCCTAACGTCTAGAGTAGGGATCTGTTAGAAAAAAATTAAGTAGAGAATCCAAGATTCGCATTAGTCTATGTAATCATAGACTGAGTATTAGTAGGTAAAGACTACCTGTGATTGATAATACGTTAGTTAATACTTCCATTAATTTCATAACAGCTTGGGCCAATACATATTTGTGCTAGACTGAGTTAATTTTGACCATTACTCAAGAAAAAAACATCCCAATTATTCTTGCTCGTTTTCAGTAGTTTTATGACATTGACTCACTGTTTAACCTGCTATTTATCTAACCGACCAAATTATCGATTCTTACTTAGTATTAGTCACCGTGTAAATATTCAATAGGTCTGTGAATCATGAATGCAGAAAATGCTTTTGCAATACTCGTATTTTTCGGGAGCATATTGATGGTGCTTCAAAATTATTACTCCTAGGCACTTTCCAACAAAGAGAACCAGATTCTAAATATGATAAGTTCAAAAGTAATATATAAGGATCAAAGGTGTGTGTAGTGTAATCAAAACTCCCTTCTGAGTTTTGACGTTAAACAATATTTATTGGAAAAATCATTTGCATTCAATTTAGATTTAAAAAAAGACATTTGTGCGGAAAGTTTATTTTTAAAATGGTTGATCTGCTATTATTATTGCCTGATCAGAAAATATATCTACCTCCTTCCTTCGTTCAGAATTGAAGTATGAAATCGTTCTAGGGATCCTGTTAATTGATTATAGCCAAAATACAAACACACATTTTCAAACGAGTGTAACAGTGATTCTCAAGGTAATAACATTCAAGTTCTCTGAACATAATGATTTTCACACCTCATACAAATTGACAAGCGTAATCCCATGAAGTGGTAAATACTGTGGTGCTACATTTTATCATTGTCAAATAAATGGTAAATCGAGAATTGGAAATATCGAGGTTGTATGTTCATGTTACAGGATTTTCAAGTAAGACTAGGGTACATGCTGCATTTATAAATAATTGCCATGATTCTGTGTTAACATTTCAATTGTCATTATGATGATACCCTTTAATTCTATTCGGGTCACCAGAAATTATCACTCACTTTCACGCTCAGGGGTGCCTAAAGCTGAGGAGATAAACCTATTTGTTATTTGTTTGGTTTTCGGTACATGCATTAACTATCTGTATGTAGATTTTTCTATGTACAGATAATTTCTACATTTTGTAAATAGCTGTTAATGCTATTCTCAATAATGATTGTCATAGAACCTGGCATAGTTGTTTTGGCCCCCCAAATGCCCCAGGAGTGAAGAGTCAGTTCTCCCACAGAAACGCCTTCATATGATCGCGCGTATACAACCGCTGTCAGGGAAGTTCTACTCACTGCCTTCTCGCTACATTACAGTTGTTTAGAAGATTGAGAGGACGAGAAGCAAATCTCCAGCGCTTTAACCGGGTTGGTGGATCCGGTGAACTCATCTAGGGGAGTTGGAAAATTCTAAATCAATGGTGAGGGAACAAATGGAGTATGAACCCAGTGTTGATGACCGGCTACCATGGGACTGCATCTCCTCACGTTGCTCCACTTCCTTGTGGATTAGACCTTCGTAGAGTGACCACCTACTTTAGTTTTGATAACCGTGCAGTATGCCAGCCCTCATACAAATCGAGTGATTTATTTGGTGCCATCTTTACCAATGTTTAAGTGCTTAAATAAATAAATAAATGAAATAGGCTTTCTCTTTACCAATATGGTAAGGTTATAGGTTGGTTGTTATTTCAAGTCAATGTCGTTTTTACGGAAAAGCTATGAAAGTTTTTTTGTTCCTTTCGAATGATATAGAAATCTTTCCACTTTTTCATCAACGATCACTGCATTATACATAAAAAATATTTCCAATTTGACTTTCACTCGGACTTATCGTGATGTTGGCTGAACTAATCTCAAAGTAACTAACTTGAGGATTTCTCGGAAACGTTTTGTCAATCTATTACATCGATGACTGACCTGTTATTTATTTTTAAGTTTTGTGCATTTATCTAAACTAGTTCTTGTGATCAAAGATCACAACTGTAAAACTGTTGTTGGTGCTTATTTTCTGCTGACAAAATAAATAAATTTGGTTAAGTAAGTTATCGTGTATAATATTATCTTTATGTTGTTCTATCTCAACCCTGATGCATAAAATACGTACTTACTATTTGCTCGTCAAACCAACATAGTGGTCACTCACTAGCGTTCTCTACAATAATAGGTTTGTCATTTGCTTGTTTTATGCTAATTAACATAATTCTGCATTTTAATTTGCAAATACGAATTTATAATTATGGAATACTTATAACTAACCAATCAAATTTTCTTTAATGTTTATTTGTGCCGTAACATTTTCGTTATAGTTTTATTAACATTTTCTTGTCTCAGTTTCACAGATTCATATCTGTATATCACTTGTGTCATGATGAAAATAACACAAGCATCACTAATTGTTATATACTCAATTCATTTACTCTTTACTGAAAGCCTACTGCGAACTGAACAACCAGAAGGTTATCGCATAGAACGGGTTGGATTACATGGAAGAAGAGTCAACTTTACATGGTACAGGAATGTAACAATCCAGAGCTGGGTTCAGGCAGCTGACAAGTGCTCTTTCTTAAATAGCCTGCTTCCTAAAGTTACTGACATGCGTTATTTCTACAAAACATTACAGTCGGATGATGTTATTTCACCAATAAGTAAAACGTCTGAGAATAAAACTCACAGCGGTGTCGTCTTTTACCTTGGAGATGTTCTAGAAGCTACAATGGACTATCCTAATATCGAAAGTGGCGAAAGAATGTGTCTGACAATTGAAAAAGTTCCGGGATCTCAGGTAAATCATAATCTTGTTTTCTCTTAACTAATATTAAGAATATTCTCATGCGTAGTGAATTCAGCACTTTTTCATTACCTCAAGACTTATAATGTTATTCTTATTATAATCCGTTTTCACTCCTTCATAATTGATTTTAACAACGGAACTCCCAATGTATGTTTCCCATCTCCAGCCATCGGTAAACCAGTGCAGCTTAGCACAATTGTTACTGAATTTACGAACTGATACTACATTTCTATTTAGCCTCCTAACCTTTTTACAACCTGCTCTTACACCATCTATCATCGCACATCGAGGTAAGCAATGGTTAGACGTACTTAGTACAGATTTCAACCACTTTATCCGATGGAAATTCCCTACATCACCAGTCGATTCGCCATGCCTACCTAGTACTCCATTGCTAAGCTCAGCACTGGGGCATTCAGTGGTTCCAACATGCACATGTGGTTGTATACTAGGGACTTACGAATATCCATTTTTCTTAATGACTATGAATTAGAAAAAGCAGAGTGCTGCGCGGTATAGTTGTCCTCTAGATGCGAGACGGAAATCTTGTTCACACTAAAGGAGATGTAGGTTGGTAATGGCGGACCGGGTGTGCTAAGTTCGCGTCGAGATTTCGTCAAACAATCAGCTTCCAAAATTAAGCAGAATACACATTTTACTTCACTCCCTATAATTAATTCAAAGGTTGATGCAGGTTCTGTGTCAACATTTTGTATTTTGATGGAGAAAACGCATCCCAAATATTTTCGGATTGTTTTAAACAGTCAAACTGGACTATCATCGATGTATTCCAAAAGAACAAGAAAATATCCTGGTAGGTCGATTCCTGATAAATCAGACGATAAGAGCAGTATCTCTAAAGGTATGTCAACAACAAAGTTAAATAAAAATGAATGAAGCGGAAAACCCTAATAAATATCACTTGAAGTTATCAATTCCGATGACGGTTCAATATAAGCTCTGACTTGACCAATTGTGTTTGAGTAAAGAGTCTATACAAAGGTAATGTAATTGTTTCTATGCATTTCATCAACAGACATCGCCATGAAACGCTTTCTTATGGCCAAGAACAACGATAAGCTAGCAAAATACGAATATCTGATCTACATACCTACGTGCTGGTCTGAAACCAGTCTGGCTTTCTGGAGCTAACTCATCGCAATCCCTAATTAAGCGTCGGATAATTAGTAAGATTGGTCTTTTAGTCATATTATCACTCAAACTGACTCCTCTGTGGTTGTCACAAGAGGATTTCCGTCATTTCTTATAAACTGAAACAATCAGCGATTTAACCTAGTCACTAAATTGCATTTAATTTCGAAACTGTAGCTAATATCTCAGTCAATTTAACCACTAAAACTGGATCACCACAGGGTGATCATACTGATTATGAAAGAATTTTCCGGAATGCCTTTACTGTCATTTGACTTGACATTTGTTTGCACGAAGCTTCCGAAACGTATCGATCTCGTTCTCAGAAACACATACTTTCCTAG